AAACTGAGTCTATGGAAAGAATGTGCGTACGGGCATGGACGTATCCTGTGCTCATTCAACTGTCCAAGCATTTATGAAAAATCTGACTACATCTGTCCTTCGCTTGTCTTCAAGAAAAATATCAGCGTAAGGAGTGGAACGACACTGATTTTATTGAACGCTTCGTAGTATCTAATTTTTACGGCGGATGTTTTTTCAACTGAACCCTCCATCCGAATTCTACTGGACTACAGAATTCGATCAATGTTATTCAGGTGGAAGGGGCGCGCAAAATAGCAAGATTTAAAGGTCAAAGAACAGTTTTCAAAACAAAGATAACTCCGAAATAGATCAGTTATTTTGATAATAATCGGGATCCCGAAATTAAAATTTTAAATTTTGTAAAATATTGCTAACCACCTACCTACACCAAAAGGGCGAATACCACGTCATCCCGAAATCGTTAGCGAATTTTCGGGATACCGAATAATTTTTACCAAAACCTACATATATTTCGCTAGCTTTCGAAAAGGGTTCCGGAACAGTAAGGTGAAAATAAGTTAACTATGAAATAGATGGGAAATCTTGACAATTTTAAGAATCCTATATCACATTAAAACTTTAAAGAAAATATAGATAAATCCGAGAAAGATCACAAATAAATATGTGTCAAAAATAAGGAAATAAGTTTTTAGAAACACCAAAAGAGCCAATGTAGAATAATCCCGAAATCGGCTCCGAAATTTCGAGATCCCGAAAAATACTTTCAAGCTTTTATATGGATATAAGCATTTAGAAATACCACAAGAGCGAATATAGCGTAATCGGTCCCGACATTTTGGGATCCCGAAAAAAAATCCTGAAATCACGAAAATTTTACACTACAAAATTTATAGCTCATGAAGTAACTAAGTATATTGTGCTGAGTGAGCACATCTACACTGCCTACTTTAAAATATTCAACTGCAACCACTTAATGTCACATAATATTTGTGGATATGTATCACCACTGCGTGTATACTGCCATTTGATATGACTACCTCTTTACACTTTGTCGCTCCCGCATATAAATAAACACTTTCCCCTTTGGAAATAAACTTTCTTGCTTCCAGGAAATTACCTCAAAACCATACACGCAGCAACACTTACACAGACACATACATAGATAAACGCACACAAACTAAGAATGGAAATGCATATATTCCTAAAAGCAATGACAGAAATGTAACTCGTACAGCAAAAAAAAGAAGGAAACTGAAATACATAATGTGTGCATAGAACTTTTTGTGTTGCCATTCCTAACTTTTCAAATTTCAATTTTCTGTTTTCTGAATGCAATTAAATATTACAAAATCTACTCTACTCGAAATGCGGACGAAAAGAGTTTGGGGACACTGGCAAACTGCAAGTATTTTGCGAATGAGACAAGCTATGAGTTATGTGTACATGCAAATATACTGGACAATGAGTTGTGTAAGCTTGTACATTCAACTATATGTATTTAGTTAGTAGTTGTATGACCTGCACTCCCACTGTGCCGACTTTTGCAAAGAAATATTCAGTAAACAGAGCGTCACTTGAGAAGCTGCATAATTTTCACTTTACAACTTTTATAACAACAGTTGGACAGGCCGAAAAGGTAAGCGAAAAAATGGTATGCACATTAGGCCATACCGGGGAAAATGCTCGTTTTTAGACTTTGTTAAAAAAAAATATTTTTATACCCGAGCGCACTTGTGCACAAGGGTATTATAACTTTGTTCACATAACGGTTGTTTGTAACAGGCAAAACGAATCGAGATAGATATAGACAAATGTATACATAAATGATCAGAATGAAAAGAGAAATCGATTAAGCGG